TAAGGCATTCAAGGAGATACCTAGTGAATATGCCTATCTCACGAAAGTCCTAACTTTCTAGGAATTTTGAGATAGCATTTGTCCTCGACCAACTTATTACTATTTGAAAGTCACCTTCCACTTACACATTCCTCTAATCCTCCATCTTCAATAATTTTAGACCTTGAATCAAGAGCAACAGTCCATCTCTCAGGGAGTTACCATGACCAACCGGACCTAAATATCCAAGGATAATATCACCTCCATTCTTTGTTGTATTCTTGTTTGGAAAGTACAAAACACCCCCTTCCCCCTTAGTATGTAGATCATTTAGTTAGACACCCTCTAAATTCTTCACACACCACAGCCTAATGTCAACCCTAATCCTCATCAATTCAAATACCTTCTCTACATCCCTTCATCTCTCTTCAAAAATCCTCACATTTCTTTCACACCATAGCCCCCACAACACTCCCCCATTGTGACAAAACCTTGTGCCTCTGAGTGCTACAGTTCACTTCTGTTTTGAACAAGTCTACCACTTCAACAAGTGCCACCCAAGTTTCTCCAAACAACCTGAAAACTAGCTGCCACATTCAAGAGGAATAGGAAGGACACACACATGGGGAGACAAAATCCAGAAATTCCATCTTTTCACAAGAGATGATTCCCTTAGGCTATGTTTGATTTGAACGAAAAGGTGGGGAAAGGAAGAGAAAGACAGCGAAACCTATACAAGGCTTGTAAAGGTTTCCCTACCTTTCCCTTCCTTCTTTCCCTACTTTTTCCATCAAACCAAACATAGCATTATGCTATCACATGGAGAAATTTTGCTTTCAACCCCATCTTTCAAATGTTGTTCAAACTAAGGGATATCATTATTAGTAGAAGGGTCACCATGCTTCACTTATTTTATGGTTGAACTTGTCCTTTTTTGTGCATTCGTAGGAGCACCCCACCTCCTTTTTAATATACTAACCACCCTTTATTTTACGATTGAACTTTAATGTTTTTGTTACCAAAGAGCCAAAGGAATGGAGGTATTTGCACTTTTTTTCTCAAAACTATAGGGGAGGCCTTTGTTAGGGTCAAAACAACAGAGGTGGTTTATAGAATTATTATAAGAGGATTTTTTGTAATTTTACATAAATAATAATAAACCAACAAAAAAATGATTAAAAATCTTCTCCAAAAAATTAATAAAAATTAGCATTATGATACAAAAAATACAAATTTATCTAGAGAATAAGAAATTGTTCACTCTCACTAAAACGCACCTTAGACTGTGATCAGATAAAAATTAGACATAACCCTAAAAAATAATACTTGAATTGAATTTAGATGGACACTGTTTACTTGGAAATGTCATATAGCTCCTCCATCTTCAATTTTGGTGATAAATAAAGACCATGTGTCGCACGGATCCTGACTAGTTTGTTTATGTTGGGATAATTGAAATAGGATGAAGTAACGGGGCAAACCCACACATGTGAGCCGGTTTGTTATGTGAAGGCTAGCGTGCTACAATATGAATGAGAGTGAAGCCTGGCATACCTCACTCACTAAACCTCACTATTGTTAATCATTTCTTGAGGGATAGTCTCCTCAAAAACCACATCCCCAGCCTATCTATCTTTCTAGAATCTTACCGATCTAGCTGTGGAGTTGGGTAGTTCTTATGCAACAAGGTCAACCTCTAACTTTCTTTAGCAGATCTTTCACCAAGCATGCTTAGTTGAAGTCAACTTAGAAAAGAAAAGCTAATGGCCATAGTGTTAGCCATTGAGAAATGGCAAACCTACATGTTGAGGACCACATTCTATCCATACAAACCATTGTAGCACTAAGCACTTGCTGGGTCAAAGAAAATTCATCCCAAAACAACAAAATGGGTTGTTAATTCGGCTATGACATCAAGATAGAGTACAAGCCAAGTCCTTCAAACACTACAGCTTAGGGGTGCAAGTCAAGCTGGCTTAGGTTGGGTTGAGGTCAACCCTACCCAACCCAAGTTATTGAACCCCCAACCCTAACCCTAAACCAATCCAAAGTTTTTGGGTTGGATTAGGTTTGGTATTAGGTCGGGCTTGAGTTGGCCCGAGTTCTCCACATCCTTTAGTCAAATGTACTTCCTATACACAAAGAGTTCATATTAATTCAATATTAACATTCTTATGTGTAAAAGAATATTGTTATCATGTTTTAGAAAAACATTTGCCTTTAAACTTGAGATTTTCAACGTACAATATACATGGATACATGTATAGATATATAAATATGTATATACATATACATAAATACATAAATACTTGTACTGAAAAAATATATCTAAAAAGTCTAAATGTTGTTATTTGGGTTTGAAATCTGAAAAGAAGTATAGATGATTTTATGCTTTTTAAAGGCTCTAAAAAAGGTAAAATCATTTAAGTTTGACCAATTATCCAACATCTGAAACTATGAAGTTTACTATTTTACCCTTAGAAATAGACAGTTTCATAATATTATAAATCATAAAAAGAATATTAAATAAAATATTATTCTATTAATAAATAAACATTATGATTTGTTGATATAAATAATTGCTTATTAATTAATTAATAATAAGTATTTTAATTATTATTAATAAATATATTATGAAATATTCTTATTACTATATAAATATAATACTAAATATTATTATTTATTTAAATAAATAAATAATATTTAATAATAATACTATTTTTATCATTAAAATAATAACAATATTAATTAACTAATTAATAATAAATATTTCACACTAATATTTATTATTGTTATGAAATAATATTTTATATTATTTTTTAAATAATTTTTATTATTTATAAAATAAATATTATTGTTTTTTACTAAATAACATTACTTAATATTATTATTGTTAAATAAATGTTATTATTTATGCAAATCAAAAAGAATGTTATTGATTATCTAAATAATAGTAAATATGGAATAATTATTAGTAAATATTATTATAAATGTTATGATTTATGCAAATAAAAAATAACATTATTTGTTATTTAAATAATAATAAATATTAAATAATCATATATTTTTATATCATTAAATAATATTTAATAACAATAATACTATTATCATTTAGCTAGTTAATAATAAATATTTCATACAAATATTTATTATTATTAGGAAATTATATTTTTTTAATATTATTTGGAAAGTAGCAACCACCCACTACCCCCTTGGTAGATCATTTAGTGAGACACCTCTAAATTCTTTACAAACCACAGCCCAATGAGCAACCCTAATCCTCATAAATTCAAATACCTCGTCCACATCCTTACATCTTTCTTAAAAACTCCTCCATTTTTTTTACACCATAGCCCCCACAACACTTCCTCACTGTGACAAAACTTTGTCTCAAGTGCTATAGTCCACTTCTGTTTTGAACAAGTCCGCCACTTCAACCAATGCCACCCAAGTTTTTTCCAAACAACCTAAAATCTAGCTGCCACATTCTAGAGGCATAATAAGGACACAAACATGAGGAGACAAAAGACAGAAATTCCATCTTTGCATCTTTTCGCACGAGATGATTCCCTCATGCTATCACATGGAGTAATTTTTCTTTCAACCCCATCTTTCAAATGTTGTTTAGACTTTAGACTAAGGGAGATCATTATTCTTGTTAGAAGGGTTATCATGCTTCATTTATTTTATGGATGAACTTGTCCTTTTCTGTGAATTCATAGGACCATTCCACCTCATTTTTAATATAGTAACCACCCTTTATTTTATAGTTAACTTTAATGTCTTTGTTATCAAAGAGACAAGGGAAGGGAGGTATTTGCATTTTTTTGTCAAAACTATAGCTTTTATTAGGGTCAAAACATTAAAGATAATTTATAGGATTGTTATAAGAGGATGTTTTTCTTCATGATTTTACCTAAAAATAGTACATAAATAATAATAAACCAATAAAAATTAATTAAAAAATCTTGTCCAAAAGATTAATAAAAATTAGCAATAAGATACAAAATATAGTATAAATCTAGAGAATAAAAAATTTTCCACTCACACAAAAGTGCAACTTAGATTGTGATCAGATAAAAATTAGACATAACCCCAAAATATAATACTTGAATTGAATTTAGATGAACACCATTTACTTGGAAATGTCATAAAGCTCCTTCGTCTTCGATTTTGGTGATAAATGATGACCTTGTGTCGCATGAGTTCACATCTCCGCCCCACAAGGGGCTGCTCCACAACGTCCCACAACACATCCCCGTCGTGTATTAGGAACATCTCCCGATGATGATGCACACTCGTGTCTGCACGGATACTGAATAGGATGGTGTTTGGTATCGATATAGGTTTTGAAAGAAACAGTGCCAACTCAGCATTGGAGATGCGTTTAACAAAAAAGCGCCTAATATATTGTTTGGTTGAGCCATTTATCTCTCTCAAAAACCGTGTGAACCATTTATTAGAAAAACACAACTTTTGATGTTTTTCATTTTCAAGTCCGATTTTTCACTATGTGACTTATATGGCGCCTAATGGCGTCTAGTGGTGCCTAATGGCACTGAGGTGTAAAAAAATCATACAAAACGTTTAAAACAGATTTTATCTCGTTTTTTAAAACAAAACTTTTATTTATAAATACCATCGATACCAAACAACCTCTAGGTTTTTTATGTTAGGATAATTGAAATAGGATGAATAAATGGGGCAGAGACACATGGGAGCTGGTTCGCTATGCGAAGGCTGACGTGCTGCAATGTGATTGAGAGTGAAGCCTGACATACCCTAATCCCCAAATAGTCTCAACCCAAAACCAATCCCCAAATAGAAAATTTCATTTTCTGCCAACAAAACACCTTCCAACCAATCCCGAAATAGAGAATTGGGATCTTCTGCCAACGAAACATCTTTCAACCCTGTACCAAGTTCATCACACGCCGCACATCTTAACTTGAGACTGGGATCCACCATAAAAGTTGGACCCGCCATGTATGAGATGTGAGGTGTGGGATTATGTACGTAGAGGGTTGAAACGTGTTTTGTTGATAGGTGATCCTACAACGAAAGATAAACCCTCCCCCTTCGATCTTCCTTCGCAGTAAAACAGTATCAGGGTTATTGTTCTAGAGAATCTTTCTTCTGCAACTTAGGGTTGTTCTTTGCGTCGCGGAAAGGATGGCAACTTTCATGATGATTCAGCGAACTGGAAATTCCATTTTCGCAACATTTTTAAAGGCACGGGCTCCATACTCGTATAAGCTCTTCTCCAACCACAGTCTGAAACTAAAAGGCTTGTTCTCCGCCTCTCGTAATCTTCCATTGAGATCCTTCGGCACCTCCGCCGTCCCAAATAACTTCCAGAAGCCCCAGCCATCTGATCCTAGGGTTTTCCGACACGACGGTGGTGTAGCTCAACGTGGAAACCCCAATCAGCGGAATCCTCAGGATCAGAGTTATGCCCAACGCGGTAACCCTAACCAGTGGAGCTCTCAGAATCAGAGTTTTGCTCAGCGTGCTAACCCTAATCAACGGAACTCTCAAGATCAGAATTTTGCTCAACGCGGAACCCCTAACCTTTGGAACCCCCAAGATCAAAACCAGAAACAAATCGTTGAAAATGGCGCTCCTAGTGCACCTCCTGCCAATGTTGATTTGATGAGCCTATGCAGAGAGGGAAAAATCAAAGAAGCTGTTGATTTCATGACCCAAGGCGTTCGTGCTGATCTTCCCACCTTCCGTGCACTGTTGAACTCATGTGCTAACTCAAAGTTACTTGAAGAAGGGAAAAAGGTACATGATTATGTGTTGCGGTCACCCTGTAGGACTGACCTTCAATTGATGAATAAAGTGATTGAGATGTACATAAGTTGTGGTAGTATGACTGATGCCTGTAGGGTGTTTGATCGAATATCTGAAAGGAATATGGATACTTGGCATTTGATGATTAATGGGTATGCCATAAATGGGCAGGGGGATGATGGATTGCAGCTATTTGAACAGATGAGGAAGCTAGGGTTGAGACCAGATGCGCAGACTTTCCTTGCTGTTTTATCTGCTTGTGCTAGTGCAGAAACTGTAGAAGAAGGTTTTATACACTTTGAGTCGATGAAAAATGAGTATGGGATTTCTCCAGGGATTGAGCATTATTTGGGGGTTGTTGATGTTCTTGGGGCATCTGGGCATGTTACTGAAGCTAAGGAGTTCATTGAGAACATGCCAGTGGAACCTACAGCAGCAGTTTGGGAGACCTTGATGAATTTTGCTAAACTTCATGGAGATATTGATCTTGAGGACCATGCAGAGGAATTGTTGGTTGTTCTTGACTCCTCTAAAGCTGTTGCTAACAAGATCCCAACCCAACCACCCAAGAAGCGTTCAGCAGTTAACATGCTTGAGGGGAAGAATAGAGTGAGCGAGTATAGAAGTGCAACTCCCTACAAGGGAGAGGAAGTAAAAGGCTTGAATATGAAGGAAGCTGGTTACGTGCCGGACACAAGATATGTGCTCCATGACATTGATCAGGAGGCCAAAGAGCAGGCGTTGCTTTATCATAGTGAGCGGTTGGCCATCGCTTATGGTCTAATTAGCACTCCCGCGAGAACACCTCTTAGGATCATCAAGAACCTCCGTGTCTGTGGTGATTGTCATAATGCAATCAAGATAATGTCTAAGATCGTTGGCAGGGAGCTAATTGTTAGGGACAACAAGAGGTTTCATCATTTCAAGGATGGCAAATGTTCTTGTGGGGATTATTGGTGATGCCTGTCATTGTATTAAAGTTTATGTTTTGTTCTATATGACCACATGAGCATTGGTTAGTGTATAAAGGTGGATCAGAATGTCCAGTTCTTTTTGTGGAAATTCATGGTGTTAATTATTTGTAGAAGAGGAACTCTGGGAAGTGGGAACATGGGAATGCTAGAAGGTACTTCAGATGTGCTTATAAAGGTTTTTTTTTTTTTTCTTTTTTTTATTAGCAACTATGAAAACGATCTATTATTAAAAATAGGATATTACATCTTATGGTACAAAATTGAGAGCATAACCATGCTATCCCTCTGCAACATGGAAATTGCAGACATTACAATTTTGCCCAAATTAAAGAAATTCACCCCTTGTTTAGCCAAGAAATTTTGGGATGGTAGCATGGGCTACCTTCTTCAGGGGTTTTGGCATTTTACATGTACAAAGTTTAGCAGTTACCAATAAAAAATTGTAATTTTCCCGTGTTAGTAATAGACTTCATGAAAGGGCCACACCCATTTACTTTTGGCTCTTCTAAATTTCTAATCTCCCCTGTTCTATCATCTGTACCAGATCTGCTATCACTTATTGTAGGATGAACAACCAGGGCAAAAGCTACATGGAAAACAGAACTGTAGAATCACTAGTGGAGTTTGACTCTAGGGTTAAATCCCTAGCCCAAGGAGGACATTTGGTATTTTAACTTTAGTACAAAAATTGTACTTCTTAGGATGACTCAGTAAGCAAACTCACCACCTTTCCTCTATAATATCATCAAAGGTGTCCTTTCAAGGCATGCAGAACATAATTATGTAAGCAGTTTATAATCTGAAAACATGTCAATGCTGTTGACTTAGCACTGCTGAATTCAGCGGTGTGCAATATTTATTAAATCATAATAGTAGAATTTTGTTAGGTTTATTTCCTTGAGGTTAACGTTGGACATTTGGACTGCATAAAATATGACGTTTTGTTGGGTGGCTCACAGGAAATTTGACACTTGCAAAATATAGAAAGATCAATAATTGGTGTATGTTCCCCAATTCTTGTAGTGTGTGCATGGTTAACAGAAAGACAATGTAACACTTCTCAGCCAATGCAGCTTTTGTTATTTGCATCTTAAACTATTTCAGTCTTAGAGTAATAATTGCACATTCCCACTAGTGATTGAACCCAATGGAAATATGGCTTCAACGTGGCAAAGGTTTTCTGAGGTGAAAACCTCTTTGATCTGCGCAGTTCATACTGGTAAGAAAGATCATTAGATGTTTCTAGGTCTTTAGCATGGCCTTTAGTAGGTTGAAACTTGTCCACAAGGTTCGATGTCTTTGTTTTCTTAGTTACTCTAGAAACAGATTCTTGTTAGGCTTAAGCTGCAGATTTTTCCTTTTTTTTTTAATGAAATTTGGTGAGGTGCATCTTTTGTTTTTGGATTACTAAATAGTCCTTTGCCCAATGTTGGTTTCAGCTATGACTGCAACTTGGGCCGGGTTGGCCCGAACTCAACCCTAACTCAACCCTAACCCAACCCAAAAATGTTGGGTTGGATTGGGTTGGGTCAGGTTGATGTTTGGGTTAGGGTTAGGGTTGAAATTCATGAATTCGCTTTATTTCGGGTTGGGTTAGGGTTCACCCTTTAGGCAACTCGACCCAACCCAAACCCAATTCTATAGTATATATCATATATAAATATATGTTATATGTTATATGTAATATATAATATACATTGATTTTTTTAGATGCATGATATTTTTATAGCCCCCACCACATAGTATCATGTATTTCTTTTAAGATAATCACTTCACTTAATCCTAACCAGAAAGACTAAAACCTTAACAACATTAATTTATGTTTTTTGAAAATTTTATTCTTCATTTCCTCTATGTTGTTTGTCGCCCAAGAAATATCTATCATAAGTCATAATACTTGCTTTTTTGAATTTTGTACCAAAAGAACTAAAAAAAAACGTAAACAAACAAGTACTAATGAAACATAGGATTAATATATGTATTGAAAGTTGAGTTAAGATCTAAAATTGAGAAATTCTATGAGGTTTTAAGGGATGAGAAGAAGGTTGGGTTGGACCCAACCCGAGTCCAACCCAACCTGAAATTGACTGCAAGTTGGGTGGGATTGGGTTAGGGTTGAAGGAATTTAGTTAGAGTTAGGGTTAGGGTTGGGTTGGTCGGATTGGGCTAGGGTTGGGTTGGGGATTTAGAACTTAGGGTTGGGCTAGGGTTGGCCTCAACCCACCTAACCAGGTTGACTTGCAGCCCTAGTTTTAGCCTTTCAGGTAATTGGGGTCTTGGGAGGGGTGGAGGGGGACTTTCAGAATTTTGTTGCACAAAGTGGCCCTTCTTGGACTTGAACTTTATTTCTTTTGCTTTCTAGCCTGAGATTTTACAAGGACAGTTGAAGTTTCTGTTTAGCACCTTAATTTATATTGTTAATGGGTCTGGAGGTATTTTCTATCTAGTGCTTGGTCTATAAAGCTTGCATAGTTTGGAGTAGCAATCAAGAAATTATTACTTCGATCTAGAAATTCTAGTAATGCTTATACATAGATTTTACAATTTTAATACATTTTTAATGAATTTTCTTTGATTATAAAAGCACAATGCCCCCCCTGTTTTGGTAAGTAACTAATTGCTTGCCTTAAAATTAGCCCAAAAGAAATAATCCCTTGACACTCCTTGCTTAGCTAATGTCTCAGGCATAGAGTTTATTGATTGATTGATCCACTTGAAGGTGGGTTCGCATCCGTCCCCCATAGAATTGCCCTGCAAAATACTTCCCACGCGTTGTAGGTGCATTGCCTGTCCGCCTACATGTGGATTAAAGAAACTCTTGCGGACTTAATGGACGGCCGTTAGCTTTGCCTTGTTAACTCCCTCTTTCCCAAAAGGGCATCATCCCCTAGGCTATTCTGTGTTGGTATCCTTTTTCTATAGACTCTAATCTCAGAGCTGAAACCTTCACCTTTCGTAACCCGTCAGAGATTGCCCCCGTTCGAGTTCTGTCGGTCGATGCCGATGACCGTTCTGACAAGAGATAAGTATCCTCGACCTTCAATTAGTTTTTCTCATTTTCTACCATTCTCATATCTAAAACCCATCAGAGTGGGAGCGCCCTTCGAGTTTGCTTTGTTTTGACTTCGTTTTTCTTCACTGTAATGAAACCAACTGATTTCTCCGTATAGATGGTTCTCCTAAAAAGCTTCTCACCTGTGATCTTTACAATTTTTTCTTTTTTTTTCACAAAATTTTAACTACTTCCATTGGCGATGCAGGCCATGAATGCAAATCAGACATTACCATTTTACAACCACCACCAGAGACTGGGATTCCTTTTTTTCTTCTAAAAGGAACCACTGAAATCTTTTCAAGATCCTCAAAAGCTCATTTTGGGGTTTGGGCAGCTTCTCCTTTTATCCTTTTCTTCTTGTTTGCTTCTCATGGCGACCATACCAAATGCCACTACCAATGTTGTTAGTGTTGTTACAGTTACACTAAATAAAATTCTTTCCTTCGAGAATCCAAACTGATGTGTCCACTCCCTCCCATGGAAAACGGGAAAAGATAAAAACTTGTGGGTTAGAAACTTAGAGTTTAGAGAGAAAAAGAAAGAAAGAGATGTAAAGAAACAACTCCAAGTATGATCAAAGACCAACCAATTTCAAGTTCTATCAATACACATTTCTACAACTCAAAAACCAAAATGTCATTGCCAAGTATTTTTTGTTTTTCTTTTCTTTCCTATAACCATCATCAAATGAATAACTACATTCACTCTCCCCAGAAGAAATAGAATTGAAAGAGAGAGAAAATAAAATTGAAAAAATGGAAACAAGAAATTTCTTTTTGGGCTCTTACAGGCATAGATCAACAAAGAAATCTCAACTCTTTCTTGGTCCTTTTGCATTGTCTTTTCCTCCAACCACAACCAGCTGTCCAATCCACTTCTTGTCCTACACATGAAAACAGCATATCCAGAGTTTGGACTGAAGAAACCAATCATGAACATCCCACATCATATCGACCAAAAACCCATCAATAAAGATGGTTCGGTTCCCTCTGAAATTCCATTTCAACCTCTTCACTCGAATTACCTTCCTCTTATCGATATGGGTTGATAGCATCGTACTTCAACTCTTCGTCTTCTGTGCTACATCTGATTAAAATGTCATGGGTCGTCCCAATATCGCAGAATTGCACCTTGGTTGAATACAAAGGGTTCCTTGAAAAATGCTCTGTTCGGGAGACCAAAGAGAATTGGGCAACCAAGACAACGACATTGAAATTCTTGCAAACCACTTCTTCACCCAGGTCTCTAAGGACCAGTGCAAGCTTGAAGTCAACCAGGACCACAATATAGAATTCATCAACTGGTTTAGGACCTGAGTTTCAGCTCTGAGATTAGAATCTAGAGAAAGAGAATACGAACACTGAGTAGCCTAGGGGATGATGTCCTTTTGGGTGAGAGGGAGTTGATGGGGTGAAGCTAATGGCCATCCCGTTAGGTCCTCACGAGTTTCTTTACTCCACGTGTAGGCGGACACGCGGCATGCCCACAATGGGTGGGATGTATTTGGGGGGCAACTCTATGGGAAGCGGATGCAAACCCCTTAAAGGTGGCCTCAACTTCTCTTGATAATTTCTTGATTCCTTCATTTCCTTCCTAGACACCCAAGGTCCCTCATTGTTATTCATGAACCAGCCCGCTACCAACAAGGAGTCTCCTTCAACCTCTATTTAATTCATGTTTGTTGCCTTTCTAGTTTTAAACCTTGTAGGATAGAAGTAATTTATGCTTTTAGTGAGTTTCAAGTTTCTATTGGACCTAATTAAAGAGCCAATACAAATCCATTTCCATCTTTGAACCATATTTTTTCAAGGTGCCAAGGCGAGGCTAAGCGATAAGGGGGGTGCCTTGTCGCCTAGTCACCTAAGCAATGGATATTTTTTTTAAGTAAAAACATGTATCCTAGGGTAGTTCCCTAGCTTCCGTAATTATGTTTCCTTAATAAATATGCATAACAACAAATTTCTCAAAGTACCCTTTTGGTTTAAAAAATTGACTACCTCTATCCTTAATGTTTACAAATTGTCTTAAAGTACCCTTAAATTTTCTAACAATTATCTA